TAATAAAGAAAATGTGCTCTTTGGCAGGGACCATACCTGCATTCTAAGACATGCCAGATCAAATGATGGTTTTTCCTATAAAGGGGGGATGCAGAGTTGAACCCTGTTGACGAATTCATTTTCTTTATTAAGATTTCTTGAGTGCACAAGCTGGTAAACGTAATACACTGTTTAAATTAAAAACAGGCTGTCTATTTTAAATACGAGTATACACTAAAATAACATTTGAAGTAACATACATAACCATGGAAACTAACTTTTGGGTTAGAAATGTGTAAAGACTGTAGACAGAGAAAAAATAAAAATAAAATGAAGATTGCCAATTGAAATGAACACATGTCAGTGAAAGAGTTTTTTTTTTTCTTTTAGTGAGAAAATTGCTGAATATTTTTTTTTCTTTTGGTCATAACAGAAAATTTTGTTGCATTCGACACAAACAAATAAACAAGAGCACGATTGATTTAAGAAGACAAGAGTTTGTTCCCTTTGTTAAAGCAAATGCACCAATGATTTTTTTTGAGTTTTTAAAGCTGAAATGTATGAAACTGGGGAAGAACTAATGTCATTAATATTTCAGTACAAATTGTATTTTGTCGTAAAGAAACTTAAATGCCAGACGGCATAAGCTTCCTCCCACCATTTTTGCTATGATGATGGATGTTTAGATTTTATAAGAGACACAAAGATTTGGAACTTTTAAAAATTATATCTGATGCTAGGCTTGACACAATTATTAGCTGCATTTTGATCTAAAATTTTCGTTGTTCAAACTACATGATTAATGAAGAAATGTTGGATTAAGAGCATTAACAAGACTATGTTTAAAATAAATACTATTTTTTACATGAGGCTATGAATTTACTGATTTCCCTAAGTAAAGAGCAAAATATGGTAGAAGTCAAAATGTGTAAGCAAATTTGATTTACAATAGATACAACTATGTATAGTAATGATGAAATTGATTTTTTTCTTCCAAGTTTGTAAACTTGTCAGAAAATTTGTTTCAAATGTTCTAAGTTGTTCATAATTCTTTGGAAAGTAACAGAAATATCAGAACAATTCAGCTAATATTATTTTTAAATAACTATAAAAGGAGTAACAACTCATATATTAAAAGGATTTTAGCAAATGTCATCAATAGATAATTTAAAGTTAACAATGTTTCCAACTTGCAAAAAAGAATACAAATTTTTTTAGTAAAAATGTCTTTGCAATGAATTTAGACCGAAATGTTATATAAGCTGCATTAAAATATATTGTTACATGGTGTTTAAGATTTTTTCTGACTTTTTAAAGGAACAACCTCTTTGAGATTAGCAATAATAAATGCATGGCAAAATCTCATTTTGTTCACCATCCTTCAGAATAAATGTCTACGTATATACATGCAGAAATTGGGGTAGGGGTCTGGAAGAAAAAAAAAAAAAAAAGACTAACATGCCTAACATATTACAAACATGGCACACATACAATTGAAACAAAAAGAAAAAAAAATTCATAATTAAAATCAATACAAAGCAAAAATAGAAAAAAATTAGCAGCATGAGACAAGCAAAAAAATATTAACAGCACGAGACAAGAAAATGGCAGAGAAGGAGAAAAAGAGAGAGAGAGAGAGAGGCATCAAATCTCTTGCTTTCAGTTGAATTCATTTAAATATGAAAAATTTTCATTAATTTGTTTTCGTTTATTTTAGATTCAAAAACCACCAATTTAAGTAATAATTTATGTTTTTTTTATTATTGATTTTTTGTAAAGTTATGTGATACAAAATTCAAGAGAAATTAAAGTCAACTCAGATCAACAAAAAAGTTGTCACTTTACAGATTTTCTTGAAGAAAAATGCAAACTCTCTCTCACTCAGAAAAATCTCTTTACTCTACTTTTGGGAGAGAATGGGCTTCAGTTCATTTTAATTACTGAGAGAAAAAAAAAGAGAAAAGATAATCCTATTTTGAACTGGCTTTTTCTTAATCTTTCTAAGGTTGGCAAGAGAGAATATTACATGTTATTCAAATTGAATATACTTAATTAAATGGGGAGAAACTTGTCAGTTGAATCTATGAAATGTTTACTGACATAAAAGTGATTAAAGAAAAATATATGATTTTATGACCAAGAAACAAAGAAATGGGTTTAAAAGTGGAAGAATGTCAAATTTAAGATGAATTTTTAAAACCAATTATTTCAAGGAAAAAATATGCCTACCTTACCTTTGTTTAAAACAAACACTTCAATAAAAAACATGTTTAATTAAAAGGTTATAAGTACATACAATCTATTAAAAGCAACATGCTTTTTTTTTCCTTTTTCATACAAAACTGAGGTTTTTTTTGTTTTTTTTTGGGAGTAGAAGTGATACAATAATTGGGGGGGGGAGTTGCTGTTCAATTACTGTCCCAATTCAAGTAAATACTTTAAACTTCTTAAAATTCAGCTTTAAATCTTGGATTGGATTTATATAATTCAAGGGAATTTTCTATTAGAATATAAAAATTGCTACACTTAAAGAATAAGAGACATACAAGTAGATTGCAAATGACTCCAATAATTACCCTAAATAAATAGCAAAATAATGTAAATAAATAATAATTGAGAAAACAGAACAGAAATGTTTGACTAAAAAATATTGTTCAATATAAATTAGGAAACTATACTTGCAGCCCCACTGCAAGGAAATCAATCTTTAAATTGGATTTATGGAATTATAAAACCCTTAAAAATATTTTCTATTTCTATAGTTTAAAAAAAAAAAAATCCCTGATTGAATATACAGGTAGGATGGCTAAGCATTGGACACAAGAACAATATCTAATTTTGTATGAAGAATGGACAAGAAATTTAATCATACACTCAGCTTATTGGAAAAAACAAAAAAAAACACACACACAAGGAAAGCTAAATAATTTGTTAGTAAGCAAATAAGAGCACAAACGAATTAATTAGCTTCTTGCTTTAAAAATAAAAACAACATGCAAGCAAATGATTGTATTAGAAAGAAGAAAGACATTAACAAGAAAGAGCAAAGCAGAAGAAAGGTAATAAAAAAAAAAAAAGCTTATGGCTGCCACAATGAAATCTAAACTGTATTGTTTATCATTGTGAAAAGTGTCATTAATGTTCCAAGTTGTTGGTTAGAAAATATTGGGCAAATACAAACTGAATTATAATTGGTTAATAGAAAATGTCATGAGAATTTAGATATAAAAATAGTTACATACTTTAAACATCTTCAGCTCTAAAATTATTGGCTTGATTTTTTTTAATCTATAAGTTTATTTTCTTCATATCAAATGAATTGCTATTTGGAAAGTGATAGACAACTTTTTTGAAATATATCCAGAATTTATATTATGAATGATCATTTTTTAAAAGGATCAAATGAAAATGGTTTGTGTTTTTTTATAGTCCTGAAATATGTACACACAAACTTTAGTTTATAAAAGAAAGCAGCAAATGTTTCACATCTGTACTTATTGATCTTATATTTTTTGCCTATTGAAAGGACACAAGATTGGTAAAAATCAATAATGGCCATTTGTTAACCTTTAGCTCTCTGCATCAGTAATATTATTTCCCTTTCCTTGGCATTCTTTTTCAAGGACTCTCAATTGCAGTATCATTATTGTTAATTTCACTCAAAGGTGTTTTCTATTGCCATAGCAGGATCTGACAACATAAATATCAAATCCCAATTCAGGGATCAAATTCACCTTCAGTGGCTGGATAAACTTTTTGTACAACAAATGTAGTCATATACAGAGTGATAAAGTTTAAAAAAAAAAAAAAAAAAAAAAAATTTTTATGGACAAGTTATGAATTGTCTCTTACAAATTATTTTAAAGAGGACAGATTATCATGGAAATTTTAAAATTGTTTTACTAGATTATGTAGGGCTAATTTGTAATATTAACACAAAATCTTGTAAAAAGCCAGATCATTATTGTTTGAGATATTTACAGGTTTTAATGTTTCAAACTTCTTCATTAAAACAAAAATATAAACAGATTTATATATTTATTATTATTTTTTTTTTTTTCAAAAATTAAACTTGAATAATTACAGCTAATACTGAATAATATTGTAGTCTGGTAGTTACTTGCAAATTTTAATAAAAATTTATTTTGACTATTTTACAGGCCATTTGCAACATGCTAATTTCTTGGAAACAACTGATATTGTTCAAACTTATGATTGCAAGAATTTATATGCCAAATTATATTAAAGTCAAATTTTAAATTTACATAATTCCTAGTTTATTTTTTTCTTTTCAATTATAAATATTTTTTATATAATTTCTGATATTAGAATATTTTTAATTTAATCGGTTATTTGACAAAAAAGGGAACCGATTTTTAATAACCTTATTTTATTCACTAAAATTTGATTGAATGAATTTTGTAATTTCATTGTTTTAGTGCATCATCAAATAATTATTACAGAATGAAAAACAAAATTGGGTTAGGTTTAAAAAACAAAAAACAATAAATCTATGACATTTTTAAACATTCAAAAATTATTTTTGAAAAAGTGTTATTTTATTGTCATATGCACAACTTCATTACTTTTTAAATAAAACATTGAGAAATATTCATTTTTTTTAAATTACTAAATCTTAATTCATAAAGTTCTTTTTTTTCCAAATGTGTTATAAAATAATAAGTTTACAATCTATCAATTTAACAGAAGCAGATTAACTAGACATGCTAAGATGACAATTGAATTTTTAAATATTTTAACTGACTTTGACATCAGCAGAAATATTAAGAAAGGGATTTTCAGTATGCGTAATATTTAAATGTTTAGGAGTTTATAATGATTAAAATTTAACACTGAAATCTATTTCATTCTTATAATAATAAATAATAATAATAATAAAAAGGACAAGAAAAGGAAAAGACGTTAAAGAAATGAAATAAGTTCATGCCAAATTTCCTGTTATGGCCAACTGAGCAGCTGCAATGCAAAGAGAGGGTGAGACAAACAATTGGCCCACCTACCTGTATCTATGCACAAAAACACCTTTAAAGATGTATGTTAGCATATTTCTAATTTCCTCTTGATTTTCTTCCAACTGAAATAAACAAAGTACATAATCATATAAAAGCAGTCCATCAAGTAAGAGGTCTTTCATAGCACACAAGTCTTTCTCAGAAGATTCAAATACATTAAGGATGGATTGAAAATTAATTACCTCCCCTTTTCACTTCTGAAATATGACATTCTGAGAAATGTGTGTACACCAATCCACCCCATTTCATTACAACTATGCTTAGCCTCTTTGTAATTAACACAATGCTAGACCTCAAGGTTTTCTTTTTACAGTGGAAAATAAAAAAAAAATCACATTAAAGATATTGATTGTTGGACACGCATTACAAACTTGATTTCAAGTATTTTGTAAATAAGTCCCAAAAGTTAACATCTGACATTAAAAGCTGAATTGTTCATACATGAACAAAAGCTACAAAATACCAGCAATAGAAATTGTAATTTAAGCTTAAAAGAAATAAGCGCAAGAACAATGAAAAACACTGTTTAGCATAAAAACAAACTCGTAGCATTCAAAATATCCTTTGTAGCCATTGTGAGAGTTGATATAATTTTCACAAACACTTTCCTATGAGTAGAGATAGAAAACCTCCAAGATTTACAGCAAATAAATAAAAGCAGGCAAACATTTTTTTTTTTTTTAAATCATTTTTGAAAAAAAAAAAAAAAATATAAAAGTGATCAAAACCTGTCAAGGTTAACAATTGAGCTACAACTTGGTATTTCACTTACTATATTCTTTGTCAACCATCATGGCATACAAATGATAAGTAATTTTGTTGAGATATCTGATAAAAGAGTGTAAGGAGTGGTGCATTCATGCCTTTCCAAAGAACATTAAATCAAAATAAGTATCAGAATATAAAATATTCATTGATTCGATTTTGATGTGATAATATTTATTTACACATCCCAGCCCCTAAAAGCCGATATATGTAGAAATATGTTAAACTGATTAGGAATATAAATGTTACCCATACCTACTGGGAGGGGGGGGGATAAGTAAATCTATCATAGCACTGTAACATACCAACCAAACTTCACAATGACTTACCAGCAGGGTAGACATTCAAAACATTTTTTATGGTCAATTGTTGAAGAAGTGACATAATAATGCCGGTAGTTGGCCATGTTCCAGTAAAACTAATGAAATCTTTTTCTCACCAGGTTTGAATATATACACATTACAAATGTCACATTCCTCAGCTTCAATCCTCTTTATGTTTTCCAACCATCTTTCTTCATAACTGGTGTCCAGCTCATTTGGAAGTGATGGTTACCTTGAATAACAGTTTCAAATTTTACTTCATACAACTTCTGACACATGTCTCTAGAGTCATATACATGTAACTCTATTCATGGTTTCTGCTATCATTTCTAAACTGGATCCTCACAAGCATGTGGACTTGATGGTATCCTTGCAATAGTTCTTAATAAATGTGTCCCTGAACTGGCTACTGTTCTCTCTAAACTCTACAATGTCTTGCTGCTTTCCTGCTTGTTGGAAATTCTTTTCTCTAGTTCCAGTCTTCAAGAACTCAGGTGAACTATCTAATCCTATTTACCTATTAGCCTTCTACCTCTTTTTGGCAAAGTACTAGAATTGGTTAAGCATGTCACATCGCAGGTCTTCTTTCAGGTAAACAATATGGCTTTTGCTTCTCTAGGTCAACTGCTGATGTGTTAATGATTATTGCTGAAAGAGAAAGAGCCTATCAAGCTTTAGATAAATGGTGCAGCTCGGGCTGTTGCTTTGGATATCTCCAAGGTATTTGACAGGGTTCTTCACAAGTTGAAAGGTTATTGTATTTTGGGACAAATTTTTGAACTGTTTCAGTCATATCAAATCGCAAAATAAAAGGTTGTCTTGAATGGCCACTCATCTTGATAGTTTTGCATAAATGCAGTTGTTCCTCATGACTATCCTTGAATATGTTGTTTCTAATTTTCATAAATGACCTTCCCAATGTCATCAGTTCTCAACTCTGTATCTATGCTGATGATACAACTATTTACTCCTATCTTAATAGTAAGTCTGAATGGTTCGACAAGGTCAAATTGGCAGATGATCAAAAAATGTCTATAATCCTGTTAAATAGGGCAAGGAGTGGTTTGTCAATTTTAACACTTCGAAAATGAAACTGTTCTCTTTTAATCATCTGAGAAAATAAAACCCTTTCTACCTTCCATCAACATGACTGATGCTAATCTCCAGGAGAGCGACTCATTCTCGGACTAACATTTTCAGCTGATATAAAGTAGAAAGAGTATATTGAATCAATTGCTAATTCTGTAGCTAAGACAGTTGGTTTACTATGTCGTGTTAGATAATTTTCCTCACTAGAATGTATCTATAAACCTACCATTCTTTCTTGCTTTGAATATTGCTGTAATATCCAGTCTGTGCTCCTATATATATTTAGAGATTCTTGATAAAATCTAAAGAAAAAATCTACAATGTTATCGGCCATGACCTGGCATCTTGGCTTCAGTCCCTTTCCCTCCACCATAACCCTCTGCCTTTTCTATAAATACTTTTTTTGTAAGTGTTCTGATAAATTTTCTTCTATGATACCTAGACTTTTTGCAGCAAGGTCTCATCATTTTACAATTGAAATGGCTGCTAGATGTAACCATAAATTCTATGCTAACAGTTTTTTCTGTCACACTTCACTTTCTTTTGGCTTCTTGCTTCCCAGTCAACTTGGATCTTCAAAAATTTAAATGTAATGTTGATCATTATCTTCTATCTTCTTAATTCTTGTTCTTTCATTGTCCTCTTTACTTAATAGTAGTTTTTCTCATATTCTCTCACACTCAGTAACCCCTTGCATCCTAGTGGCTTTATTGCATTGCTTGGAGTGAAATGATTATAAAAAAAAAAAAAAAAAAAAAAAAAAAGTTGACAAAAACAATGTTAAACATAATTTAATCAATTCATCAAAGAAAATCACACCATTTATTTCAGTTTTATTTTGACGGTCGAGTTAATTTAAGATTTTTGTACCAAATTTCTCACTGTCATTTTTTCATGACAAGCCCTTCTCCTTTGATATTCGGGTTGTAATTGAACTATGCAAGGCAGAGATATTCAACTTCCTAAGGTATTTGGTATAACTTCATACCTGGATGTGTAATTGTCATGTTCTTTGTTAAAGAAAATCAAAGAATTAAATTCAGGTTCTGCTAGTCATATTTTAACATGTCTATTATTTTCATAAAGATTTTCATAGAATAATATTTCACCAACTTTGCAGAAATAATTTCAAGTAAAAAAGATTGATTCAAAGAGTTCTTTAGACAATCTTATTTGTTGTGTTATTTATGTTGTTTCCCCAATGTTTCAACGAATCCATTCTGTGGCCTTCTGCAAAGACATTTCACTAAAAAAGTACAAGTAAAGATAGTAACAAGCAGTTAAGTATTTTAATTAGCAGTATTATAAAGTAGAATAGGACTAATAATTACCACTGAATTTCAAGTGATTAAATTACTAAATTTAAAGTCAAGTTTTCTTATTTCAATATTTGTTTATTGAAATTAGCATTTTAAAAAATATTTGGGTGTATTTGGGCAAAAAGTAACACCTATTTATTTAAATTCATAAAGATAAAAGTAAGATAAAAGCTAGTTCATCCGTTTAAGGTAATGATCATTAAAAGCAAAATTTTAAAAAAATCTTTCATATCATAAAAGCTTAAGATTTTTGCTGCAGCAAAAATATGCTTTTTCTCAAAATACTCATCTTACAGTAATACTTGAAGTACAATATATACAGAATAGATTTGAAAGAAAGAAAAAAAAAAAAAAAAAAAAAAAAAAAAAATTTTTATATATAGCAGATTACAATAAAGAGTGTGACATACAAGTACGCCACTACATTTTCAGCTAAATGTCTGCTGTTCAAATGTCTGAGCAACTCTGCAAGTAACCATATGTAAAGAGAAGTGTTTTTTTCCCTTTTTCAAACCAGAAAAATGCAGCAAAATGAACATTCAAACCATCCCCAGCAATACAGGTTATTCCATAATTTATATAGGTGTTTTCAATTCTTTTCTATGAAAATCAAAGAATTTCAACATTTTTCTTTTGAGCAACAAAAGCCAAACCCTATTAAAATTCAAGAACTTGATAGATGCCAATTCTTTCAATTTTCAAAGGAGTTCAAGTGATCTGAAGGGGTGAAAACTTATTAAGGTTTTAATTCATTTGTGACTGCTTTGCATCTTTTTTATATTTGCTCATATTTTATTGTAGAAATTGCTTGCTAGTCTCAATCTTATTCTTTTCTCAATAAAATTAGGTCCCATTTAGTAAGAATTATACTTGTATTTTCATATTTTCACTCTTTTTGACATAAGGAACCATTTTAGTACTATAGATGAGGGACAGAGACAGGTTAATGTATGGCTTCTACAACTTGTCACAAAAATTTACATATTCATCTAAACTCATTTCTGTGGTTAAACAAATCACCCAAGCCTAGCACCATTTATCTAAAACACCAATGGAATCATTATGAAAGTAGAAACAAAAAGAATGCCCACAATATAAGTTTACTTTAAGCCCAACAAATTGACATTATCTGTCTATATTTCCGAGATGAGGTATATTATGTACACTATTTACATTATTCGGACTATTGTCCTCATCTTTGTCGCCATATTTATTACAACTTTACAGCTGTTGTACGCTCAAGGATACATGGCACAGTGGATAAAGGCGTTGGTTAGATCCAGTGACAGGACCCAAACAGTGAGAGTTCAATACCCGGTTAAAGGAGTGGAGAACTTGGAGAGGGGAATTAGACATCCATTAAAAACATGGCATGTGGAACTAGAACAGTCTACACCAGTGAGCAAAATAAAGGGTTCAGTTTGACATTCCAACCACCTGAAGAAGGCTGGAGGGTACAATGGCCGAAACATTGTAATAAATATGGTGACAAAGATGAGGACAATAGGAAAAATAATGTAAATAGATTGACATTACTTTTACAAAGTTTTGCTTTTAACTGGAAGGTCAGCATTACATTTATACAAATAAATCCTTACTTGTTAAATAAGTATTTTACTGATGCATTTTGATTCTGTTTTCTTTTTCACACAAACATGCTTCCATCAAGATTTAGGGGGATTTGGTTAATCAAATGAGACACTGAACGTTACAGTTACAACAAAAAGATAAATAATAAATTTCACAAAACTTATTATTTTTAAAAATATATTGGTAGAAACAACAAAAACAACATTATTTCATTGGCGATGGTAAGTAACATTAAGAATCTTACCAATTTGAGAAACTTTTTCTTTAAATCAAACAATATTTATGTTTGCTTGTCATAACTGTAAATCATCATTTTTATTTAACAAGGCAATGATTATATATATTTCCTACAACTAAATGTTATTTTGTGGATACCCATGTTCAAGTAGACATGTTTTTTTTTTTTTTAAAGCATTCACACTGTTTAAAAGGCATCTACTCAAATAATGTTTGGAGTAGTAGGAAATAATGTTTGATAAAAACTATTGATTCCTTAGACGTGTGTGCATGGACATTTAGAAAAGTATTGCTTACCTCCTGACGCTTGGTCATAAGTAAATCCAGCCTATCAGTTGCCCTTTTATTCTGATTTTTCTGTCTCTCAGATTCATATTGACGCTGAGTGTTGTCCAGATTAATACTCAGATTTAAGGCAACATCTACAAGTGCTGTCATTAATTTCATGGCTGAAAATAAAAGAAGAGGTTATGAATATTTCTTTTGTTGTTTTAATAAAACTTGACAATTTGTGCAGAAGCAGAATTTCAGGAAGCTTTGAGGTTCAAACATACTTTATACTAATCAATCTGAAATAAACTACAACTGATGATTTCTTCTCTTTAAATAACTACAAACCTGTTGCATGTTATATAAATTTAGCTGAGTCCATCATATGAATTTCTCAAGCACAGGACTTTCTCCATTATAAAGAAGTACCTATTGCTAATCATACTTATTATAAAACCCAGGTTGTGTGTGTGTTTTCGTTTATATATTGGTTCGGATTTCCTACATTTTTCAACCGATTTCAACAAAACTTCACTTTTTTTTTTGGCAGGTACTGTTTCTTATTGTCTTGCACACTTTTTTTCTTTATTTTTACATTCAGAACGCTTTAAAAATTCCATTTACAAGACAATTGTTTATAATAAAATTCTATTCAATTGGTAGTCTCATAATGATTGAAAACAATGTTTTTGTTTGAGTTTGACCAATTCGTAAAAAAAAACTTAATTAAGACAATAATCTTTGTCAATTTTATTTTTCAGTCTTTATGATGGTTGATACTTGATACTGCTAGTTTCAAATAAATAGGTTTTCTAAAAAATAATTAAATGAGTGACAAATCCGAAAGATTAATGCATTTATTGGTCTTCCAAAAAGTGGACAATTCATTTGGTAGGAAGAAGGTAATTTCCAGAGCAATGATGCTCAAATGGGTGACACTTGTCCAGCTAGCCTCACCACAAAAAAAAAAAAAAAAAAAAAAAAAAAAAAAAAATCATCCAAAGTTGTAATTTCAGCCATATGACCAGGTAGATATAAACATTTGTTAAAAAACGAGCATACCATGACAAAAAAAAAAAGGCCCCAAACAGATAAAAACAAAATTTTATTGTCAAAATGTTTATATTATTATTATCAAGAAGACCAAACTATTTTTATATTATTTAACTAAATTTTTTAATCCTTTTAACACATTCAAAATTTTGGTTTCTTGCATCAGTAGATGAACCAGAGATTACTACTAGGAAATTTAGTGTCCTTTTTATGGTAAAAAACACATTGTGGAAATTCTTGCAAAAATCAAATAATTGTTAGATTTTAATAAAACTTTCAGGAGGTATTAACAAATGAATGAAATTATTTTTTAAATTAAAAAAAAAAAAAACAAACAAAAAAGACAAAAAAAAAAAAAAACAAAAAAACAAAAAAAAAAAAAAACAAACAAAAAAACAAAAAAAAAAAAAAACTGTTACTCCCATTTAATTTTATGAAAGTTCGAGAAGTTAAAATTTCAGCATCTTCATATTTATATTAGTTAAAAGCAGGACTCCTTGAATTTAAATAATCAATTTGTTTTTGTCAAACAGAAACATCATTTATTGAAAATGCTCTGAATCGTAAAATAAAAAATGCAATAAAACTACATTATTTAATTAGAAAAGCTTTTAATTGCTTTTATAAAAAAAAAAAAAAATTAAGGACACTATTGTCTTAAAAAAAAATTTTGTTTGATGAATAAGGAATTTTTACAAGAATTGTTTTCATTTTTTAAAAATTTTAATTAGAATAATTTATTAAGTTCTGTATTAATTTCACCCATTCAGATCTTATTACTGAGTAAAAACTATTTACTAATTGTAAATGGAAAAGCTTAGTACAAATCATCAAACACCAATATTTTAAATTGGATTTATTTTTTTTTTTGTATGTGTATAAACTTGATGATTTTTGTAGATATGATTGTTCATACATAGCGTTAAGTGATAAATATAATAAATTTAAAACCAGAAAGTATCTAAAATTCAGTAAAACATTAGACTGTAGAGAATAGTTTCAGTTTACTTATAAATTGATGGTACCATTTTTTAAAAATCATTCTTGTCTTTACTGAGCATAGGTCAACAGAGAGTTAAACTCTGACCTGTTTTATATAATCATTGTGAAATTCATGGGAGCACAACATTGCTTTAAAATCATCTGAGAGAGAGAGAGAGATCAATTTTATTTTTCTGAAATTTGTTCAGCTATTCCTGATTTTATGATATTGCTTCAGTTTTAAAATAGAAATTTTCAAATTTAGGTTTTAGGGGGTTGGTCAGTGTTTCACTCTATTTCCCCTAGCAAAACTGAAAATCAGCTGGGGTAAAAATGAACCACAAATTCATTAACAACTCTTAGATTAACAATAATTTTTAGGCAGCCTGCTGCCTTCAATATGCTACGTGAGTATCAAATTTTCTAAGCCCTCTTTTCTCATTATGTGTCCTAGAAATTTCAGTTGTCTCTGACTCAGAGTATAAGTATCCTTTGTATCTCCCTATTGTAGACAACTTGATAAAGAAAAATATTCAAAGAAAATAAGAAATAAAATGTAAACATAATGTAGCCAGCTATATATTAATGAAAATCAGAAATAAACCATTTTTATGGCCCAGTTGCAAGACTAAGCAAATGACAAACACATGGCCATGTATAAAATGAAACATAACTTAGGAAATAAAAAGAAACTAAAACTAAAGAGAGGGGATTAATTTCAAAATAATACAGCCTCAATCACAATGCAAAGAAAATTAAAGTGTTTATTGGAAAAGATTTACTTACCTGCTAAGGTGCTCGTGTGTCTGAAGGCTCGAACCTGTGAATCTGTGAGTCCTGTCAATAATGAAATGACGTTGTCCATCATATATTGATCGTAGATGATACTGTACTGACATTGTCTTACCAATGTCTGCACAAATTCACAATAGTTGGATTTGAATTTTTTCCATTGTGGTCCCGTCATAATGAGAGGGTAATCACCACTTTCCTGAAATTAAAAAAAAACAAAAAAAACAAAAAACAAAAAAAAACAAAAACAAATTAATGAATTTATAACGGTATAAATATAAAAATTTAAATTTAGAATAAATAAGAAATATTCCAGGTTTAATTCATCTGTGGATAGGAATACAACTTGTGAGTTTAGCCAATGTTTGGAAATCATTTCACAAATGAGGTAGAAGGAAGACAAGAGAAAGATTAATTATAAAAAATAATTTATGAAAGAATTTAGTTTCTAAAACAAAGCAAATAAGAGCAGCTTATTACATATTTTGTTTTTATTACATTTATTCAAAGCGTAACCAGTAGCATTCTTTTTTTTATCTGTAAAGAGTTTGAGCAATGTTTAACACTTTATGAACAAAAACAAAAATAATTTTACAGAATTCAGTAGATTTTTTTTTTTTACTAGTATTTCTTTAATTTTTTTAAAATTACAACTCTCTGCCCCAAATTCTAGTAATTAATGAGCATATCAGAAATAAGAAGATGCCTCCATCATGATCCAAACTAGCATTCATTTTTCTCAGTAAGTCACCCTGTTTAGATCAGTTGTCTGATCAAATAGACCATGAAAACTGGCCAGGTACTAAAGCACTGTTAGATGACAAATGTTTATCAAAAACTAGAATAACAGTCTAAGAGTTGCAATAAAAAGCAAGAGAAATAAGATTAAAGAAATACTACTTTAAAATTTATAACTGACAATGCTTCATCTTTGAAATTCAAATAACATATGAATATTCTGGATGTTAGATTACAAATAAGAATTATTGATATGTTGGATAATAAAGAAAGGTTACCTCATCAAATTCTTCGGTCATTTTGCGAATGATTTCAGCATGTTCCATATTGGAATACATGTATGGCGTAATTTTGCCCTTACAGCCGGAACACTGGATAAAGAACTGAATTAGCTCTAAAAGAGCAGCATCACGGTCATTTTTATATGCTTCAATCCAGTCATCAATCAGCGACTGCAAACAAAAACAGTTCATTAAAAACTTCTTAAAAATGAATAAAAACAGAAACAAAAAAATCATGACAAGAGTATATTGGTTTTATATATAAAAAAAAAAAAATAAATAAAATTATTCATTTATATCAAATTATATTCTGTTTTCATAACCTTCGTTAAAAGGAAAAATCTTAGCAAGATAAAAGCCAATGTAACTTTACTTGTTTGTTGGTTTTTATCAAATGGTTATACAAAAGTGAATCCTGTCCTGATTTGAAACTCTGACCTGGAGATAAGCAGGCAAGTGTAATCCTGCTGAAACATTCAGGTAAAATTAACTTTGAAATACTAAAAAGCATTTTTTTGTTTAATATTTTTAAAATATTTATATTCATGTCAATGAGTTACTCTCGTTTATTATTTCAAATGTTTTTTTTTGATGTGTTAGACTCACTTAAAGTAATGAAAAATAAATTTTAATATTCATTACATTTTATTTTAACAAGACAACCATGTGAACAAGATTTAAAAGTTTTCAAGGATCATTAAATCAAGTCAAAATTACAAGAAATTCCTGTCTAAGGTCAAATTTTTAATGAGAGAGAGAGAAAACACAGAGAGAAATATATAATATATAATAATAAAAAGATTGCTCTAGGCAATGATCAAGCATAAACGTAACTAATGGCTACTAAGTGCATGAAACTTTAAGTAGACTTTCCTTATGGATAGAAAAAGAATATACTTATCCCCCCCACCACAGTTAATTTTCTATGTTCATTCCTATTATTCTCAGAAGTTGTTCTGAAGATAAGCATGGAAAAATCAATCAAATCATTTATTATCTAAAAACATTTCATGCTGAGTTAACTTCATTTATCAATAAGTTTATTAAAAGTGAAATTAATGCAGTATGATTTTGACTTACCTGAAGGGACACTCGCCCGTATCTAACAATATCAAACAAGCTGCCATCTTTCGGTTCTTCTTCAAAACCTGATACACCAGCAGTACCTTTTTTATAGGACTGCTGGCCACCAGCACCAGCACCTTTGCGTTTTTTAGCTGCCTGTAATTCAAGAAAATAAGATTACACTAAGATTTTTGAAATTACTGACATTGCTAAAAATATTAAAATTTTGATACTTAAACAACAATTTTGCATGTCCCAAACAGAATCTTTAGAGTATTGGGACATGATGCAGTATCACTTGTTCAAGTTCTTTCTGGCAATTGATCTTGGATTCTTTTTCTAGTCAAACTAGCTCAGTGGCTGGATATCAATGCAGAAATTTGTTTAAACAAAAAAAAAAAAAGCTTTTTTTGTAGGATATTTTATAATTTAGAACAGTTCCCATTATAGGAAGGATGAATTGAAATCCATAAAAAGAATCTTGATCCTTCAGAGTAATTTTGGTTTTGATTCCAGAACAGACTTTCCAATACTGATTGATGCTATAAAACAGTTTGTAATATATAAAGAATGCTGGCTGTTCTAAATCAGATATCAATTATCTACATATTTATACTCATTATGTTAGAGGTGGGTGGGTGCGCCTTCTTTTGCATGAATAAAACCATAATATAATTTAATATACAACATAATCAACCTTTCTCATGTTAATGTATGTGCGAATCAGTTGAATGAATTAGCTTTTAAAATTATTACACATTTTCCTGAATACAAACAAATTTAAACCAACAGTAAACATAGCAAATATTTCAAATAAAAAGAAAAAAAAATCCCCCTCTATGACAAAGCCAAATTTTTACAAATAGCAATACTATTCAACATAAATCTCCCAAAATGGCAAAAAGCAGAAGCAAATATTCAGCGAACAATGTTAATTTTTTCTTCTTCTCTCAAATAAAACAAGTTTTATTGTCAATAACTTTGAAATGAGTCATTAACATTAGAAATAAAACATACTGTTGTTAGTGATTCATAAACCAAGTTACCATTTCTATAAAGGGAGGTAACCCAATGAGTTTTCAACGAGTAGAATTTTTACGACTTGCTTGATATCCGAGTGATAAGAATTGGATATTTCACACTGATGCAAATACACATAGGGTCCACATTCGGAAGATTGGCACAACACAATCTTCCTATTCCCTCTTTCACCATTTAGTCTCATGTCATATTATGTTAAACCGAGTAAATATCAAATGGATTTGTTGTAGATTTCCACACAAGAGTTACTGGTCAATATTTGAGTGTTGGTAAAAAGTGAGAATTTGATTTTTAAAGCAGAGATCCTCCTTCCTTGATACAACAAAAATACTCTTTATTTTATATTTCCCTCTTGATTTGGTCCTGTGCTGAATTAAACTGAGGATATTTTGTCCATTTCTTGTAATAACAAGTGCTACCTTTGATCCAGAAGAGATGTTACATGTATGAAATATAGAATCAAGAAATCAACATTATTTGTTTTAGTCTTATCTTGTTTCCACACATCTGCACAAACATTGAGAGCACCTTCTCTTGACAGAAAAACACTGGTGTTATATAGCTCTCCCAGTCCCAGACCCATGCTGACTATTGGCTAATACCAGCCCAGTACCATTTATATGCAAATAGGCAGCACCACCTACCTTTAAGTAGGTCTTCTCTCAACAACTCATTGTGGAAGGGGACGCAATTCCTGGTACTTATAGCACCACATACAACCAATTCATTGTCTTTTATCAAGCTGACTCGATTCTATGTTACACTATGTTAAGTTTTTTTTTCTCATTAGAAAGGAAATAATTTGAAAAAGAAGAGAAAAAAAAAAACCTTCATTATAAACTGGCAATATTTTTAATCTCAATCATAAGCCAATTGGTGATAGAGTGGGCTCATCTCCCCCAAACTAAGAAATATTTGATTTACCCAGCAAACCAATTGTAAAAATGAAATGAATTAGACAAAAAGATTTCAGTAGCCAATGAATAATACATTAAAGTCTCCCCATCCTTTAGGATTTGATTATTTAATGGATTTAAGAACATTTAAATTGATTATTTTTTTTTTTTGGTTATATTTTAAAAATATTCTTAATATTAAAGATTTATGCCAAGGTCTCTTTTTGATTTATATTTTACTCCTTTGAGGTATATTTTGCAAAGTAGTATTTTTGAATATGAAAAGTTTTGTTAATTGTGCCAACCTTAGACAATTGGGGGTTAAAAAGATGGAGAGCCTCCTACTGTATTTATAAAAATGATTTTTTTTATTTTTTATTTTACTACCTCTAAACCTTTTAAATATTAAGTATTTTGGAAAGATCAACTTCAAATAGTGTCATCTTTTGTTGAAATTCAGCTCTTAAAAACCAAATTCTACAAATTAACAACTATTTGCTGAAATCTATCAATAACTACAAAACTGCTTATAAAAATATTTTGTTTGACATTTAAAATAAGCATTAGTGTCAAGAATGATTCTCAGCACCGAAAGAAATGTTTTTGTTTTGAAAATAAATCATGGTTTTAGTAAGCAAGGTGGATCCAATCGTGACGACTGTATAAAAAAAAAATGGGGGGATCAAATACTCACAGGACCCTCATTTTTCGGTTTCCTTCTCATTTTTGCATCAAAGTCACTGTCGGAATCATTTTCCTGTTGAGCTCTGAAAATAGAAGCAAAATTGTACACAAAATTCTCAAGTTCATCTACATAAAACCTTATGTCAATTATAGTGCTTGCTTTAATTATTTCTAATGTTGCAAATGTTTTCAGGATTAAAATTGTCTGAATGCATTTATATTTTTATACCTGGGCTCAAAATTAATGTCATCCTGGTGACGGTAAAACATTAGTTTGGGAGGACTAGTTAGATTTTGGGGGATGGTGGCTGAAACAGACAAATTTATTTTAATTGAGCTTCCATTTTATTTATTGTAACAGCAACTAATTTTTAAAAGGAAAACTTACTTCTCGCCATTAGTGACAAGCCTTTAATAAACAGAATTCACACACAAACAAAAAATAAAATAAAACTTAAGCACTTCTTTTTTTGTATTAGTTACCTCTAACATGAAAAACAAGGATCTAATTAGAAAAACTAATTTTGCTTTAATAAGCAAGAAAATTATATTTTTTCTGCCAATTTTTGGTCAAAAAATTTAAATGAACCATTAATCACAACATTTGTGTTTTCTGCTTAGCATTATTCTTAAACTAATTTAAAAATACAATTTAAAACTGTTATATTCCATGATAATAGGAATATATACTTGAACAACATGGTGGATAAATAAGTAAAGGTTTATTCTAATAACCAGTACAATAAGAAATAAGGTACAGTTATGCACCCGGTTGTCGCAAGTCAATCCAGTAGTGAGTGCTGCTATTGGAAGGTCGGTAGTTCTTGCGTAAGTCTGAGTCGTACTCAATGGACCCCAGCAAGTCTCTCGTAGTCCGTTGCCTTACGGATACGTATAGGTAGTTACTACCTATAGTGTAGTCACTCATGGGGTGGTCGGTTATTCCATTACATCACCTACCCTAGAGCTGAAATTTTCCTCTGAAAATTTAGCTTTCTAATACTTCCTCTTTTTCAGGTCTGGACTTAACTGCACTGTAGGTTTTCTTTTCCTTGCACTCTTTCGAGGCGAATAACATCTTAATCCTATGAGCAAAGCTGGTGTAGGAGAAGTATCCATGCATTCTGGTATGTTCGTGGTTGGTATTATTTCAAATGTGTTGTACAGGACAGCCACCCGAATTTCTTCATCATCCTGTTGAACGATTTCAGAGTATCTTGGTCTCAACTGGTTTACATGCCTTTTGCATACACATCTTTTTTCCTTTCACCATATAAATTACTCTTCCAATCCTATTTGAAATAATTCCATCCTCCCAAAAACATTTTCCACCTCGGTAGTTCCTGAAGAAAATTTTATCACCAGGCGTATACTTCTTTGCACAGAATTTTTTTACCTGTAAATGCAGTTCCATTATCACTGACCAATGTTTGAGGAACTCCAAAGTAGCTGCAAACTTTGTCTAAAGCACTGATAGTAATTCTAGAAGTTTTGTGTTTGTATTTTAAAACTTCTGGCCACTTTGAGAAACTATCCACAATGATCAAGTAATAATACCCGTTAAGTGGTCCTGCATAATCAATGTGTAGACATGTCCAGGGGATATCTGTTTTCTGGCCATAGTTGTGTTTTAACTGGCGGGGCTCTTACAACTGACACCCTCAGCAGTTTTTCACAACATTTTGATGCCTGCGTCCATTCGTGGGTTGAAAACATTAACTTCTCATAAGTGATTTCATATGAGATATGCCAGGGTGACAAGTATGAAATTCTTTTAAGATTTTTTTCTGTAATGCCTGTGGCATCACTACTCTGTCTGCATACATTAGCGTATTTTCGCAGATCGAATACGGAGAAATTTTTATTCCCTTTTTATTTCTTTCATTTATCCTGGCTGTTTTTTTCATAGTTTTAATAAAATCATCATTTTCTGCGGCTTTCCTTATGTCTTCCAGCATCACCTGTAGTTCCCTGAACAGTATTACACAGCAAATGCGATATTTCTTGTTCGTCCTTTAAAGCTGCAATTACAGTTTCTTCCAAAGTTCCATTTCATTATGTTTTGGAATCAACCTTGATAGTCCATCCGCAGGACCCAAGTTTTTCGATGAGACATACTCCATTTTAAAATGGTAATTCAATAATGTTACGCTCCACCATTGTAATCGGTTTGCAGAATGAGTTGGAATACCCTTTTTCGATCCAAAAATGGTCAATAATGGCTTGTGGTCAGTTTGTAGTGTAAATACTCCACAGTGAAGGAAATGATGGAATTTCTTAACTGTGAGAATGATTGCTAAACTTTCCTTTTTGATCTGACTGTAATTCTTTTCTGCTGGCAACAGAGTCCTTGAAGCGTGTGCAATTGTTGAACCATCTTTGTTATTTGTAAAGTTGCACTGCTGCAATTCCATACTCACTAGCGTCAGAAGCAACAAATATTTCTTTTTCTGGATCATAATGCGCCAATGCTAAATCAGTCAGTAAACAGTTTTTAATTTTTTGAAAAGCTTTTTCAGTCTTTGGACCAAAATATTTAACCCCTTTTTTTCAACAATTCAATTAACGGTGCTCTTAATTCATACATCTTTGGAATGTATATTGGGTAGTATTGCGCCAAATCTAAAAATCATTGCAATTTTGCCATCTTGTCTGGGGCAGGCACATTTATTATGGCTTCAGTTCTCTGTGGATCTGGTTTTCTGCTATCTTTACCCACAATCTTTCCATAAAAAACTAATTTTTCACTTTGAATCCGAATTCTTCTATTCTCTTGACGATAGCCCTTATGTGTTTTTTTACGCTCATCCATATTTTTACTTTTCACCAAGATGTCATTTAGATATGCAATGGCAAATCCTAACCCTGCATGCATTGTATCCATGATTTGTTGAAAAAGTGAAGGTGCAACATTTAAACCAAAAGGAAGTCGGTTTAATTTAAATAATCCTTTATGTGCGTTAATTGTCAGATACTTGGAACATTCTTTGTTGACTGACTTGCAAGTATGCATCTGACAAATCAATTTTAGAGTATATTTTACCCCCATTTTGAGAAAATATCCTCAAGTGAGGGAAGCAGTCATTTAGACCCTGTCAAAAAGTCTGCACATACTGTAATTCTATTATTTTTCTTTTTAACATACACAGTAGGCGTCTGAGGGATCCACTCTCGAAATAACACCTACTTTTTCCCATCTTTCTAATTCTTTGTTAATAGATTCTAATGAAGAAAACGGAATGTTCCTTTTAGGTCTGAAAATTGGTGTAACACCTTTTATCTCAAATTTTACCTCCGTTTTCAAACACATATCCAATCCTTCAGAGAAAACTCTGGGAAATTCGTCCTACAAATCATGCACAAATTTTTCTGTTTTAATTTCTTCTTTTCCCAGGTGTTCACCTGATTACAAAAAGAGTTTGCAGGCAATTCCCATAAGTTAAATAGTACGATACAATCTATGCCGAAAAGGCAGGAGTTGTTTCCTTTATGTACGTAGACTTTTGACCTGAAAGTCTTATCACAAAACAAAACGTTACACTTAAGTTCATCCATAAATTTCTTTTGTTTCTCCTGAAATACCTCTGGCAATTTTGTTTATGTCAGTCAAGTTTGGTCGACCTATGTTTCTCTATGTCTGTTCATCAATTATACTAATGTCAGAACCTGAATCCAAAAGAAATGTTACCATATGTCCATTTATATATGCATTGGCATACTTTTGTTTCTCGCCATTTCTCAATTCCTTTTTGGAGAGAATCACATTCACTTTTTCTTTCTTTTATAGCATTGGGACCCTTTATGTCCCTTACGGCCACATTCAAAACATACCTTGTTTTTATACCAGCAATTATATTTTGTGTGATTAAATCCTCTGCAACATTCACATTTCTATTTGTTAGTCACGTTTGGGACCTTTTTTGCTTTTACTCGCTGAACTTTGCAAACACCCCCACCTATCCAGGTATCATCTCGTTTTACGTTAATCAGATGCTGGCACTCTTCGGTAACCTTTTGCAAAGTAATCTCATTATGTTTTTCAATTATAGTAAGAATCCGCAACCTGATATCCTTTCCTTGGGAGCGTTTAGTCCCAGAACAAATATTAGGCATTTGAATAAATCTTTCGAATTCTTGTCAATTTTGACAAGTTCACATAATGAGTTAACCATCCCAGCATAGGATAAAAAAATCCTCATTTTCTGACAACGATATCAAGGCATTTGTAACGTGTGTGGAACAAGCTATCTCTTTCATCGAATATCCTTGATAGTGTTTTAACTGTTTCTTCAAACGAGACTTCTAGTTTCTTTGGTAATATTAGGTTAGAGCATTTTGTATTTTCATCCGTCCCCATTTTTTGTAATAAAAGGGTGACATTTTCCTTGTCTGACCAAGTCTTGGTATCTATTTGTAAATATAGATTCGTATCTTCTGAAATATACCAGGAAGGTAATCCTATTGTCTGCCTCATAATGAAATTCCGTTAACAAATTTGCAATACCTTCAGCAAAGAAACTAGTTTTTTTTTTTTTTTCTGGTTTTCATCATTTATTTTTTCAAACAGTTGAAGCTGTTGTTGTTGGTTTTACAACTGTTGTATTTGCTGTTGTTGAACACTAGTGCACAACAGTTTTATAAGCTCTGTTAGTTGTTTCATACTTTCACACGACAAGTCTTTTCAGAAAAACGAATGACAGACAAGAAAAAACAAACAAACAAAAAAAAACTCAATCTTTACTTTTTGCCTTCCAATAAACTCAAATTACTCGTGTAATTTTTGAATAAAAGAAGAATACGACAAAAATATTCTTACTTCAAAAGATTTTATGTAATAAATCTTTTTTCAGAATAATGTCTTCTTCCGATTGTAAAATGTTATAATATCCTAAGGTGTTGTCTTACTTTGAAACTTCTGTAAACCAAAGATATAGCCGACAAATATTTTTCTTCTTGAATTCGTTTTGGCATCACTGCAATGTGGTATGTGAATTCGATTCAACAATTGATTCAAGAAAGGTTATTAACAATTATTACACT